TTTACTCTTGTCCACACATATTGTAAACCAATGTAAAATCTTGAGACTTTCCCCTGACACACTAATGTCCAGCTTGTTTGGACAAGCAAGGCTCCCTAAAGCAACAGAATGTAATAGTTACTGTCATTTACTGTCAAGGTACAAAAAGATTAATTTATTTAATTTAGACTCTTCCTCTTGCATTCAAAAGGCTGATATGACATCAGTCATTTGTTTTCATTGTTAGCTCCATGTTCAATCAATAGATAAACTACCCACAAACAGGTTCACAATCAATAAACAACAGCACAACATTTAGTCACAATCAAGAAAAATCATTTTTAATGTAATGTAGCATTTTTTATTATATTATATTATATTATAATACAATAAGCATTTTACCTTTGTTCAAAAACCTTTATATAAATAAAGTATTTAATCATTTGCCAGGCCTATGAGAAAAAGGATATCAGGTCAGAGATTTTAAATAACCCTAGAAGCCTAAGGTTCACTGGAATATATTTTTGATGTGGAATACTAGAGAGACCAAACCAGGGAACATGCCTTCCATGTATTTTCCTTCAAATCTGTATGTTTCAGAGGATTAGAATTAACAGGACACACAGGGGTTCACGCAACCTGTAGCGTGAGATCCAACCACCTGTCCACCCATCCTCAAGCCACCACTCCTACCCCTCAGCCACAGCCACTCAAAGTGCCTTAATCGTACATACAATTAATTAAAGTCAAGTTTGTTTTTAAAGAACTTTTCACGGGCAGAAAACCGTGAAGAGCCTCACAATAGCCCAAAAAAGCGAATGAAAGCAAAGAATAAAACCAGTTTCCTTTTAGATCACTTTACTGCACACTTCGGCACACTTAAAAAAACACAGAATGAGCCACTATATTAACTCTTTTTGAAGTGAGTCAGAGGTTAACTCAAGAGTGCTAATTTCACAAGTGAAAATTTGTAGGTACTCAAACCAACTATTTAATACTGAGTGTGACAAAGTGCCTCAGAAATGCATTTTACATTAACTAATGTATTTTCTTCTTATCCGGTACAATCACAAAACAAGATTAGGAACCTGTTAACAAGTGTATGAGGAAGCATTTAAGTAAAAGATTTGATTTAATCCAGTGATGGAGTCTAAATAATGCAACTCTGTGTAGACTCTGCGAAATAAAGGTACTTTTAGTATGTATTCACTTATCCATCATGCTGCCACTTAGTAACTTTCAATGATCTTTCATTTAGCATTGTGACTGAAACTTGCTACAAATTACATGTATTCTACTTCATCCAGCCAGAATTGGGCCAAACTATCCAAACACACGCCTTTTGTTGGACTGGCGATCCATCCAGGGTCCGCCCAGCCTCTCACTCACTGTTATTTGGGATGGGTGCCAGCCCTATTCCTCACTTGGAATAAGCGGTATAGATAATAAACGGAGGGATATCCAACACATTTCGCATCTCCATGTGTTGGTTTTTAAATGAGTTGTCTCTTGTGTGATTTTTATGTGTTATTGACCTTTAAATAATAAGTACTGTCCTCATGCTCTTGTCGGCGGGGGGGTATAAAAATGGGTACGGCCTGACAAGTTATAGTTATATTAGACGTGGGAGTATATTACCATATGGCTGCAGAGGGTTTGTTGATGGTAAAAAAATAAATATGATATTCCAGGACGACACCCGCTCTAATTCATGCATCTCAGCCGCAACACAGAAGCAGTCAATATAAACTGTCCAGGGCCAACTCAGGTTGTTACATGAAGGTGCCTCCTGGCTGCATTGCAGATATAAAATTCATATTCTGTGGGCCAAGGCTTGATCTCCCTCATTCTCTCTGCAACAGGGCCTGAACAGAATGTAATCATGGAAGAAAGAGTTTATCAGTTTTTCTTGCTCTCCCTGCCACTCTAAATAATGTAATTCGTCTCAGATGTGAAACAAATAGCCAAACCCTCTTTGTACCTACATTATGTACATATACATATATATATATATATATATATATAAAGAGAGAGAGAGAATGAACAGATTCAAAGTTTAAAAAGTAAACCAACAGGCTGAGTGGCCAGCTGAGTGACAGGGAGACAGCCGACTGATTGTCTGAGTGACTGATTTTCAGGTAAAGCTGTACTGGTTCTTAGCATACTAATGGTGACATTGCGCACATGGGGAAGTGGTGCGAGAGTTATAAAGGGGTAGTGAGAAAGAGATCATAGAAAAACAGAAGCAGAGATGAAATGGAGGTTGGTGAGAGCGGAGAGAGCCACATGCAGCTGGAGATGGTAGAGTGGGTTCTTGTTGCTTTAGATAAGACTCGAACATGAAATGACAATATGGAGGCACGGTGTCTCATGTGGAATACTAAGAGACTCGCTGTGTATTTCTCTGTCTCTAATTCTTTACGGGAAAAAAAAGTTTTCTCAGTGTTTGTCACTCCTGAACCTAACTTTGTATTGTCAGGTTTTATCAATGCAAAGATTTACCTTTGCTTAGTATCTTCATTAGAATCCAGCATCCAGACACCAGTACAATATCGAATTTGGAATATGCTGTATCATAGCCAGGTTATATGACTCGACATTTCAGACCACTTCGAATCGGAATGGGCGGAAGATGTTAAAAGAGATCTATCATTCGGCTTGTTTTTCCACACACAGTCTCTCTTTTTGCTTCGCTGATGTCTGAGAGGCTTCAAAGGACATGCTTAACTTTCAGCATGTCTGGAGAGTAACCAGCAGGGGGGAGTGCTGGTCTCTGCTAAATATTAACACGCACACACACACACACCCACACACACGCACAAACACACACACACACATTCTCCTCTTTTCTGGGGACTATATTCAACAGAATGCCTTACTAAGCTCCTTAACCTTTAACACTACAGTTATCCAGATTTCTACCCAAACCAAAAGACAGCATGTACCCTTCAACCCAAAACTTCAGCTATGTTGGTCCATTCGGTCCTTACAATACGGACCTCATAAGTACCATGGACTCCACTTTTTAGGCCTCATTTAGAGAAAAACTATGAAACGCACATGCTCACACACACACACACCCAGGCACAAATGCCACTCACCCAAAAAACATAGACAAAATACCAGACAGGCTCTATTTGGGAAAGAGTAATTAGCACCATATGATACAGTTCAAGGGTTGATTCAGTGAGCCACTTAGGAATTTGCTCTGTGTCACTCTCCCAAGGCAGTAAGCCCATTTTCCTGAAGGATGAAAAACACAGATAATTGGGTTTTCAGGACAAATGCCAACTACTTTTAAAATGCGTAAAATGACATTAGTTGGAACCAGAATTTTTGCAAAATCCAAACGTTCATATAATGCTGCTGTGGGTTTTAATCCCTCTGCTTCAATGAACAAAGTAACCATTCACCATTAGGGCACAACTGTACAATTATTTCCTACAGAGAGAGTTGGAGGCAGTAGAATTTCTGGACTTTTTATTTTCACAGTCCACTGCACCATGGCAGCAGGGAATTTTGTCAGTTGGTAACTCAAATTCATCCAGTGCATCTAAATCTCAAATGAGTTGTGAGAATGAATTTATTTATTTATTTTGTTGGGTTGAGGGTGGATTTAAACACAATTCTATGGAGTCTGTCTTTATTTAGTGATGCTGCTCTGCCACAGTTAGTTGCAGATGTATTAAGAAAAACTAGCTTGACAAACTAGCTTGAATAAGAATAAGACCAACAACATTCGACTGACAATACTCATTATTGTCTCTCTAGCTCAAAGCAAAACTCTCTACACTTTTACGTCTGTCATTACATGCTACAGCAAAGCTAATGGATCAGAAATAGCCCCAAAACAAGCACATTAACTCTCACTACAGTGCTGCACACACAATTACTACCATTTGGGATCAAAATATGTGCTTAACTCAGTAAGATGGTGTACCTCTGCTTTAAGGTGCTACTGTAAATAGCATCCTTATGTGGTCATGGTCATTAGTCCCTCTCTCATGCTAAACTGTAACCATCAAACGACACTCAGATTAAACTGTATCAAGATTATATGTGCCAATGTATGTCCTTGGTTAAGTAGACACTCAAGTAAACCACTAAGATGTTATTTGATCATTCATCTCTGTAAAGTTTTCATGAAAAAAAGCCAGCAATAACACCAGACATTACACATAAGTGTGGAACTTACATTCAGGCCAGCAGTGTACACTATAAACTACTTCATGGTGTTGTAAATGCCTCTATATGACAAGTTTTACTCCAAACAGCTATAAAAATGCCAGTTTTACGCCGTTAACAATAATGATTGTGTACTGGACTTTAGACCTCTTTTAAAATGTTGATTAACTGCAGCTCAACACCGTGTTGCAGCGCACTTGTTAGAAAGGTCATCGCCACTTTGCTAATATTTATGTAGCATGTTGTTGTGCAGTGGTTTATCACACCGGGTCAGAGTCAAAGCCCATGTGTACTAATCCTTTGGACGGGGAGACTGAAGACTGAAGAGTTTTGCTGTTTGTTTCGATTGTAATTAGCCCAAACCTCTGATAAGGATTGTATAAGGCAGGTGATCGGATGAGAACATCCAACACCTTATCATGGCTCTTCACCTCGTAAGTCAAACTCGAAAGAGCATAAACATTAACACATTTGGGAGATTTTTCCAAATTTCAACCTTTTTCCATTTGAATTGACAATGGTAAAAGATGTTTCAATATACTGCAGTTATAAGGCAAACATACACTTCTTTAAATCAAATTTGCATAAAAGCTATGGTCACATTTTGATCGTTGTGGCTTTTCTTATTCTTGTTTTTATTTTAAATGTATGAAAAATAACTCTCCTTTGTGATCAGTTTAGAGAACGATTCAGTCAACGAAAAGTCTCTTGCCGCTTCTTTTTCCGTTTCCCTTGGTAGATAGTTTGCATACCTTCTTACTCTGGTTGATGGTGAAGTGGGGATCAGGAGGAATCTAGATCTAAATACTGTGTACAGCAGAGCAGTGAAATTACCATTTTTCTTAGTTTATTATTTTATTTCCATGTCTAATATATATACAGTATGTCATCCAATTGCCTAATACACAACAAAACTTTATCAGACTTGACAGTGCCTTTGCTGAGCTGAACCCCAGATCACTGATTTTTTTTTTTTTTTTTTAAATTCATATTTAAACACAGAGCATTAAAGGGAAAAAACTGGAACACGTGGGAAATGGCAGCTCTCTCCCTGGTGAAACAGTTGTTTTATTGAAATCAACGTGAGTTAAGCTTCACTGGTTACGTGGCTGAAAAATATTTAAAAAAATTTCAAACACAGAATGTTTTTAGCAATGTATGCTAAGTTAGTCAATAAGCCAAAGTATGCAAAGCTGAGCAAGCAGCCGCGTCCGGACTGGTTCCTTAGTTGCAGAATTCGCTCAGCTCCTCGAGGGTGCAGTGCACGTTGCAGCAGCGCTTCAGAATGTTTTTCATCACAACCATCGCTATACGCTCATGAAAGGTGGTGTCCTTGTTTTCATCTCCTGCTGATGGTTCCCTACCTGCAGTAGGGGGTGATATGACAAAAACTAAAAAGGCGAAAGTCATCCTAATGGTTTAAATCAGACGCACATAACATGATTGGAATGAATAAAGGCAAAAAACACAACTTTACAGAATGTGTCGCGCATGTTGAACAATTTGCTTAGAGACTGTTTGCTGTAATAGTGAACGTTCAAGTGTTTTGTTGGTGGTAATCTCACGCTGCATGGAGCCATGGCCGGTCAATGGCTGAAAGACGGAACCTCTTTCCCCGCAGACGAGGAGAAGAGCATCAACCAGGTCAGACTGACGCATGCATTGGAAACTTCTGGCTTGCGAGCTGGGGCTTGAAATGGCCAGGAAGATAAGCAGAGCGGCTGTATGTATCCACAGTTTCGCCATTCTGGGAAAAGAGCTGGACACAAACATTTTAGGGAAAAATGTTTTTAAAAAGTTTTTTGGGGGAGGAAGTTATTTGATCTGGACGAAGTTGTGAATAATCATAAACTATGGATAAAAAAGGAATAAATGCAAAAGATAACAAAAGAATGAGAAGTTGGAAGCCGCTTAACTGTAGAGCTCATAGATAAAGGAGGATAAATATTTAGACATGTGTAGATGAGACCAGATAAGGAGTCGATATATGGATAGCACTAAGCCTATTGAAGATATGGATATAAGAAGAAAGAAAGAAAAAAATAGAAAAGCATAAGAGAGCATCTCACTTACAGCGTTAGATGAATGAGGGGTGGATGAATTGTTGGCAGAAAGGAGCGTGTTTTGGCTTCTGAGAGTCAGCTGTGGTACCGAGCAGGCCTCCTCTGCATTGATACTACCGGCACGAGTGGGACACGCCTGTTGAAAATATGTTCAGCAAAATGAGCGAGTGCTGGCAGTTGCAAGTCAGCACTTGACGCAGGGCAAATCTACAAGTCTGTCATTCCTTGTGGACATACTTTACAGCACTTAGTAAAGGAAACAGAGATAATGGTCCAACATGATCTGCTCAATTCTTGGTGGAAAATGTTATACATCTTGAGGAAATATGTCCTTGTTATGTTTCTGAATTGCTGAAGTATGGATTTGAAATCTGTCGCAGTTCAGAAATAGAAGATCCTCTTATGTGAACAATATAAATGGGCAAAAGCAACACAAACCCATTATGGAACATGATGGCTGTAATGTGTGTTTAAAAATCATGATAGTTTGGAACGCAGTCCACATCACCGAGGAGACATGACAGTTAGATACAACCTGTTGTGGCTAGTAGGCACCAGGATTAGTGGAATTTAAAATTAATTTAATGTTAAAAGGCTTCCCTCCTAATTCTGCCAATCTCTGAAAGCTTGTCTCAAAAAAGACTCCTGAAAGAGTCAGTGACAAAGACACATAGGGAGTGAATTATGACAGAGCATTACAATAGATTGCTTTGGGCTTAAGAAGATGCACAATAACTCTAGATCTAATAATATAAATAAGATGGATTATGATTAGGATATTGGCACCATCAGCAGAAGTAAGAATTACCTCCTCAAGATCTTGAAATGCTCTATTATCATGAGATGGTAGCTATATGGTAATATGCAAAAGTTGAGAGCAGAATTTTGAACCGTTACAGGGTGCTCTCAGTCAGAGATCTATCATGCAGGTTAGTTGATGACACATAGCGTGATGGAATAGGGTTGAACTCTTTTTATTGGGGCAGTAAAAGCCTGTGGCTGTCAGTTCTATAGTGTTGCGATATAAATGACTCAGAGCAATCATCCAAATGCAAAACCTCCTGCAGAGTTTTAAGGTATGGGAAAACACACTCCTGTTTGCTCATAACATCGCTTTACGGCCTGGTGGCATTTTTCCCCATCTTGTTAACAAAAGGAATAAACTCTGAAAAATATCATAAATTTAGCCTTTACCTTATTACAATGAGAACAACCTTCTGTTTTGACATTTGATTTTTATAGACCAGGTTTAACTTAGGTTCCAGCCTCAGCATGTTAGCGGATAACTGAATCGGAATATGTGGCTTTTTTTACTAATCCATTTGATCTGTAGGACCTCAGTGTTTCAGAAAAAATCAGAGAAAAATAAAGCTGAAGTTTAAAACAGTTCCAGGAAAATCGGAGTGTTTCCCATCCAGTGGGAAATGCAATGATTTCCCCTTTTGCCATTATAATAAATAATAATGATGATAATTTCCATTTTTAAAGTGTGTCTTGGAACACCCAAAGCTGTTTTAGACAGCCACAGACAAGACAAGCTTAGACAAAATCTAAATAACTAAGTGCTTTTGGAAGGATGGTGACAAAAGCATTAATATGGATCACCAGTGATTGGATATGTTATTGAGGTGGAAGGCTGACTTCCTGTGTCATAAAAGAGAACAAGTTATATGTATTTTGCAATGTGGAAAATAAGAAAATGTGCATTTTGATATGACACATTCAATATATACACAATGTTTATCTCCAATACAATCCATTACAGTATCCTAGCCCTTGACCAGGAATTATCAAATGCCTAGTATCAACTTAGTTATGTTCATGCTAAATCTCAACAGTTGAAATCAACCATTAAAGCACAACCAATATTTGTGTTGCGTCTTTCCCAAAAGTACATCCCAAAACAAAATTCATCACAATAAAGAAAAATAAAGAACATGCCTTCTTCTATTTGGAAAATCACATATATATTTACATAGTGGCAACACTTTGAAATACTTAAAAATGACATATTCTGTAGTTATATGTAAGAACTTAGCAGGTCAAGAAAGAAAAATGGATATCATGAGAATGTAAAATTGACTCTCTCAGCAGTCAGGTATAGGGCATGTTAAGTGAGGTGGATCTGAGCAATCTGAATCAGTTGAGCCAGTCCTGGCGTGAAGCCGCATAAAATAAGAGAGCTTTAACTTTAATATCTCATTTCACTGGACTGGAGCGAGATAACTGAAGGCTCTGTCTTTGATTTCAACCCTGCTAAACTTTCATGGCCAGAAGCAAGCTGGCATTTTGAAAGTGAGGCTCTTCTTGAATCAGCAAACACCTATGGAGTCTGTGGAATTGTTTGCATATTTGTTTTTAGCTTGTTGAATGTTGATCGCCCTTCTAAGTTGAAAAAAAAAAAGAAATGGCAATGCTAAAGGTGAGCTAACCAGCAAATAGAAAATCCATTGTCTTATCACAGGATATCTTTACATCCCCTTCCTCATATGAGGACATCGCATTTTTGCCTTTCTCCATCATGATGCTTAATTTCTTTTAACTTTTAGCTATATTGGCATCACGCTATCTGACATTAATGTTGAAAATCTAAAATGAAATGGTTTGATATGTTTTCAACAAATCATATTATTTTGGTATGATTAAAAAAATGAATTAAGTTATATGGACCATCAGAACCAAATTGCAAAGATAACTTGAAGAAATACAAATACACATTTTAGATAAAAAGATAAACCCACTGACCCTATATATGTAAAAACTACGTCCTACCATGTACCAAGGGTCTATAACGTTTGAAGGCCTTTAGGAAAAAAAAAGTTTTTTAGTACTCTGATGACAGTTTAGGAAAATGAAAACTAATTAAAGAAGGAAGTAATGGAAAAGAAGCACCTGCATTAGAGCATTGACTGAATATATATATTAAAATGATGTCTGTATGCAAAACCTCATTCTGTTTTAATCAGAGGGAGAAAATATCATACTATTTTTTATTTTGCGTTTTATGTAATACCAAATGTTATTAATTTAAAGGATGTTTTCTATTTTTGTTTGATTAGCTTGCTAAGTAGGCTATGTATAAACCAGCACACATCTATGGATAGAAAAAGGGAATTTGCATGTGGAGCATGATTAAAGTTACTTGGACTGGATGTAATTCATTACTAACTCTGATAAAAGGAAGATACATTTACAATTATGGCCAATCATGTGGAGGCATGAAACGTGTGTAGGTTATGACTCCAATTTGAGGTGCACTAAGCAGAGATCTTTACAGCACCTAGACGGAAATTCACTGTTTAATTGTGATATAACAGATGTGACTTACAGCACTGTCAGAGTTCCCAAGACGGTCAGCTAATAAAATCCTTCACACTAAAACGTCACAAAGTGTTAAATGAAGATTGAGAAACATCGCCTTAAATGTGTTACACCTTCAGCAACTCCAATGTTTTCAGGATCTCAAAAAGCCTTTTAGGCAAGTTAGATTGTAATTAGTCCTGCATGATAAAATCTACACTCACCAAATGGTGCATATGATGACTTCTATATTTGACTGGGGCAAACTAATTTACATGCAAAACAGCACTGAGCTGTTGTGTTTGCTTGTGTTTTATACTGAGCTTGCAAGTGCAAAATGCCATCCAGCTATTAAACATACCACCTATTCCCAATGGGGTCACAGGAGGGGGATCCTGTTCCAATTTCAAGTAGCCAGTCCATTGCAGGGCCTCACACAGAAGAACAAACACACACATTCACTCATAGGTGTTACTTAGAGTGTTCAATAGACCTAACATGCATGTTTTTGGATGGTGGGATAAAGTCTGAGTACCTGAAGGAAACCCACGAAGACACAGAAAGAACATTTCAACTCAAGTGTTAAAAGCTAATTGTATTATGTGAGAAAACACTTTTTGTGTGACAAAACTGGGAATGGGGCTGCACGGTGCACAGTGGTGTGACGGTTAGCGTGTACTCTCTAGATACCCTGGCTTCCTCCCACGGTCCCTATGAATGAGCAAGTTAGGTTAGTCGAAAATACTTTTATTACCTGTGAGAATGAGTTTTTTCGTGTGTGTGTGTGCGCACGGTTGTTTGTGTCTGTGTGGTCCTGTGACGAATTGCGCTCTGTCCTGCCCTTTATTATACAGACAATGAATCAATGGAACAAAACTTGGAATAAAATTTCTTCTGGATCACAGAAGCTTGTATGGGTGCCATTCAGGGCTGCTCCCAACCATAACTTTTTCTTGATTAAAAAGCAATAGCAAATAGTTACCAAAAGTAGTTGAGTGTTTGCTGCCTTTTGCACAGGATCTATTCAAAATCTCTCTAAAAATTGAATTGAGAAAATACCTTTAACTCTTCTTTGATACAGGTTTCTTATCAACCCTTTTTATATAGCTTACACAACCCAGTACAGTGACTTAAGGGAAAAATCTGTTTGTTTGCAGGATCTTTATGGAAGTTCTTAATATGGCCTCTTAAATTCAGCAGTCAGTCCATTCTCCTTCGGCCTTTTATGTTCACAAATTAGACAGATGCTGGATAAGATGGCTAAATATTGTGCAGACTACGGTGGTGTTAGGCCTGAAAAAGCACAGCAAGCATATAAAGACCTAGTTGGATGCTACCTCATCATATGGAAATAAAGATTTCCTTGACAAATCAACATAATTTTTTCATAAAAGAAAAACCAAATGACAGTGATGGATGTTCTCATTGTTGCTGTTGAAACGGAAATTGTCTAAACCGGCACCTTCTGGTCCTCTTTAATTTTCTGTGAGGCAGAGCATTCATTTTCACACTATGAACATGTAGGGAGCACTTAGTGGATCAGTAAGTAGACAAGTGTTAATGAGCTGATAACAGAAGGGAACATTACTTCATATGACAGATTTGAATGAATTTTCAATTTTGTTAGTATGGTTTGTTGTTGCCGAAGTTTTGTGTTACAGTCAGATTCCTCTTGCTATATACACATTTGTGACATTAACTTTGCCATATTAATTTGAGTAAAAAAAGTGAGTGTACAAAGTCCACTAAGAGCCAACAGTTCCTTTACATGACATCATGAAAGATTTGCTGAAACAATCATATTACTCGCACACCGACTTCATTCTTTCCTTTAAAAGATCATTTAAACAGTAAGCAAAAAAACAGGATCCCCACTTTGCCCAACCATATCAACTTACAACAAGTAATTGTATATATTGTACCCCCTCTTAGTTTTATTGAGTGCCGGAACAGTCCTTCTTGTTTAAAGGCTAGGACAACAGATTGCAAGAGCACTGGTACAGAGTATGGGGAGGACCACTTACCTATGCCAGATTCCATTTACCGCATGGGCAGAGTTGGTAGATTATGAGGACAGCCGATCTCAATGGTCAAATGAAGGGTGCAGCGAGGGCGGCTGCTTGTTGACTGGTGGTGCAGATCATTTCTAGTGCATGGGCGCACACTGTTAGTTTAAAGGCGACACAGATTGAAACCGTCACGGGCCTGCTAGTGCAAATATTTGAGCGAGTGAACCAAGGGCATGTGCGATCTTTGATGCCAACATTTGCAAATTTGCAATTGGACCTAATTTTATCTGTCGACTCAGTCGCTCAACAGTAGAAAATTCAACAAGAATTGAATGCCTGTGTGCAAATACACATAGTTGCGTATCTCCGATTTTAGAGAACTAACATTAACGGAAATGCTTCCATGTTATGCGTGCTGTACTAGGAGGAAATACACGACTCACACATGCATTCACAGACAAACATAATACTATTAATTAAACAACATTTTGTCCTTTTTTGTCCCTCGCACACACATTTAGATACCCAGTTATTTATACATAAATCAGAATAGTGTACAGTTTTGCCCAATGTGCAGAGGAATCCTGTTACCTGATGCCTTTCCCTTTATTTGGTCACACATGTCCAAACAAAACTCTGAGCATATCTCAGTATTTGCCGAAAAGATCGTGTGTCGTTGTGTGTGTTTGATCATGGTAAATGTTCAAACATTTGCCTGTAGGTCTACACGTCCACGGCCAGATTTTGTCATCCCAATCAGCAAAATAGAAACGATTGTCATAAAACTAAGCGGGTGATTATTGCATCATATGTAGGGGCCTTTGTGTTTTAAGTTTGCATGTTCACCCCATTCTTAATTGGGTTCTTAATTGTGATCAGATATGTTTAATTTGAAAATATGCATGTTGTAAATTCTAAATTGATCACTAGAGTAAGTTAGTGTGCTTCACGACAAGTTTTAAGACATAAAAAAATACAACTAAAATATATGACTACAATGGAAAACATTACGTTTTATCAGCTGGTGTAGTGAATACAAGTAGATCCAACTGTATGTATGTGGAGAAGTGTATTATCTTTATTCAGAAACAAATTTCCTCTATTTCAAGCACAAGATTAATCAAACAATAGAGCTGTTGGGCCTACAGGCATGGGGAAGCATGATGAATGTTTAATATAGCCACCAACAGTTCCCTGAGTCTTTCCAATGGTAATTACAACGGCATAATAAGTCCCCAAAGTCGTTTTTAAATTTATGGTCGGGACACAAAGCACCAACAAAACTATCGTTCTCTATAGATCCGTGATAGAACTTGAGCGATCAAAGGAGTAGCAATCGTTTTAGTTCCAGACAGTACCTGGGTTTAGGCTGTGTCGAAGCTGAGGAGAAGAGAAAAGATACAAAACCCAATGTATGATTGATGAAAGAGGAAGGAGTCGTAAGTGAGCTGTAAACCCATTTAAACAAAAAAATAATACATCATTTTTATGATTAAAAAGACAAATTTCTATAACAACGTTTGAATATTACTACTGTACATTGCAATGTGCTTCCGCCAGACTTTGATGCCCTGTCGCTTCAACTCATGTCAGAACACCCCGGTGTTTCTTTATCCATATCGCAAAGGAACATTTTCCACTGCTATGTACACCTTTGTTGACCTGGCATGTAAGATGATTAAACAGTTAAACAGAACCACAAAAGTGGCTGGTCACGCTAATCAGAATAGGTGGCTTGTGATCTTTCTACTTCACTTGAGTGTGATCCGATATGTCTTATTGTGTAAAAGATCCCTCAAACAAGGCAGCATTGAAGCTACAATGAGAGAATATTGTTGTCATGAAATGCAACATTATTTTTGTCGAGGGAAAAGAGACCAGGGAAGAAATATGTTCCTGCCATCAGATTAGAAAAGTTTAATTAGGTTATTCAATATATTATTGGGATTTTACTGATCAACTTAACAATGCATTCATCATATTAGCTAATGCACTTACATCAGAGAAAGGGCAGAATGGACTGATCGTTTATTATATATACCCTAAATCTATCTGAATTTTAAACTATTTAACAAAGTTATTGAAATGCTGACTCTTGAAGTTGTTGCCAGCATCCGATTTTCCTCATTTACAATTTGTCCAAGACCATATTTCTGTTTTTGCATGACTAATCCTTGGATTCCATCAAAATACAGCGGCATTACCAGCCAACCCAAACAATAACTCTTGTGAAATCACCAGATGTACAGCTGGCAGATGTAAATGTCGATCTGCAGAAAGTGAAAATCTGCAGGGTGTGTTTGCAAGCTTACGCCGGCTGAGAGTGAATACAGCCCACAAAATGCTTTTTAACACGTCTAATCACAAAGAAATTACAAAGTAGTGGGTTGTGGAATAATTGCGTCAAGCTGTGGCCTGAAATAGGAGTTAATTAGGTTTGAAATGTGAAGTAACGGGCTTGTTTAGCGATCAGAGTTTGGCAATAGACTGAAGAGCAACGAGGACTGAGTTGTCTGACTTTATTATGTAAATGCTCGTTCACACCTGGCATTCACGAGAACACTGATCAACCATATAAATCTTTAATGAACACTTTATACTCAGTTAAAATGTAATCATGCCCCAACAGTTTTTTATTTTTATAATTAATTATTTCTGCAGCCGGAAAAATGAGACATCAGCCTCCCCAAGATAGCGTATGAACGTTTTAAAATACATGATAAAATGTTAAGGAAATAAAGTAAAGTAAAAAGGAAATCAAATCAGTTAATTTAGTTTATATATTGTTTTTTTGTTGCTGATATTTATTGAACTGAAACTTGGACATGGCCCATCTTCACTATCAATCACAGAAGTCTGGCTACTTTTTCTGGCTGTTTCAAAATGTTATTATTTCTTGGTTATTGATCTTTTTCCTTTTGTCCTGCTGTTATTTAATGAATTTTCTTACCTTAATAAATTCATTTTCAGTTAAATTTGCCTTTCTACCTCCAACCTTGGCCATGCAGTTTTGGTCTTATTTTTGCTAGCTGAGACTGATAAAGAATGGAGCAGTGAATAGTCATCTAACAGAAAACTGGCTGGAAAAAGTTCTGCAGAAGTTTGCTAGAGCCACTTCTTGGGAAAGACACCCAAAGACCCCGATTTGCTTGCATGATTTCCATTTAAAAATGGAAAAGCGCAGTGAAAACGCTTCGTCTAGCAACTTGCTTTCTGTATGTATGCCTCTGCAGCCTTTCTTGAGGGGTGTACGATTAATTAAATTCAATTCGCCCAGGCCTTCTTTGCGTGAGCTGGGATAAACGACTAACTGGACAATCTTTAAAACTAATGGGTACTTAAATGTGGGCTTTCCTCGACACAACTCTGTGTTGAGAATAACCGTACCAAAATCAAAGGACTAAATTACAGTCAAAATACCTATTAAAATACTCAGGTCGGAATGTACCCTGAAGTCGATATTTAATTTCTGTTGTCCCTCTTTTTCTTTACCAATCAATCCCTCTGCTCCTCCGCCTTTCCTTGTTTATCTTCCCGTAAATCCTAACCTGGTGGGATTTGCTCTTATTGGATTGGCTCAAACCACATGGAGCTCAAAGGCTTAAATGTTCTGACTGTCACTGTTTCTGATTTGTGCTTATCTCGTTGTGGGCTACCTCACATGAAAGCCTCCGGGCCGGTGGTTTTTTGCCTGTTTATGCATGGCGCAGTTGACCTTTGGAATTCGGCCTCTTAGTGCGCTGCCCACCGGACAATCCACCTTCCCGCAAGTCGATTACACGAGGCACGTGCCCTAAACACGGGCTACGAAGTGAGAGCGAACTGATTCCAATAACGCATAGCACACTGTGTCAATAAGATTGCTTGTTTACCTACAGGGTACACACACTGGACATGAGCATGTTGGGCAGCTTACTTAAAGAAAATGGAAAAAGTTGGACACGGTCACAGCAGCAGGGGTGGAAAAAAAAGCAGACCACTGAAAGGGGCAATTTAATATCACGCTGTGCGACTCTGAACAGTACCTTCCGTTATCTGCTTCCTCGTGCAATCAGGTGTGGGGGCTCACACTGCATGTGTTCTTAAGGAGGTGTTTGATAAGGGAACCAAGCAGGGTAGCTAAAAAAAAAATAGACGTGAGGGAAATAGTGATATGATGGTCTGTTCAAAATGAGTTATCATGGAAAAATGCTATCGTGAACAACATTACTTTACATGTTGGGATATTTAATCGGATCTCCTTTTCTTCTTTCTCATTGGATGAAGTAGGTAAATAACAAGTCTATGGGTCAGGTTTGAAACAAAGATCAACTAATAAATTTACAATTGCTTTTGTTTTCCGTTGCTGTTCAGTTAAGGTTTTTCTCATATGTGATAAACTTGTTTTAATCTATATGATTCATGGCAAGACAAGCAGAATCTACCTATGAGACAAGTATCTTTTTAAAAAAAAATTGTTTTGTTTTTAGGCACCACTTTCCAATGGTAAGTTGTTCTTGGCAAACACAAAGACGGCTTTTCTTTAAATTCTTGTTTTTTACAAAGTTATACATTTATGAGCTGCATGTCCTCGGTGACAGCCCCAAAGATATTTGCTGAATGATCCAGATTGTGAAATGTACATAACACTGTACATGTCTTTTCTTGCTTTTTCTTCATTGTTTCAGGATTAGTGGATAGTAACTGTTTTTCTTTGAATTAAAGCCTATCACAAATGCAAAGGTTTTTTCACTACCAACTCTGGTCGTGTCTTGTCTCGAGTTGCTTTATATACCTACAAGGTCCCACTATAGATGCTGTGGGCAGATGGAACATTTCCGGTTGGTGAACATATCCCATTTGTGGTCAATTGTATTCTACAGAACTCATTTTAAAGTCTTTTCAAAGAAGGACTGTTTCAAGCATGATGTTTAACTGCCCTTAAGTTTATAATGATCAGCCATGTAAGCAACAGTTCTTAATGTCAGTCATTAAAAACAGACGGGACAAGGAGATGCAATGTGGATGGAGCACCAGAGAAGCTACTGAAAAAGTACAAAAAAACATTTTAATTGGTTTACATGTCAGCGTTTCTATCTTGAGTGAAATTGCTAATGGGTATAGTCCAATTAGGCCTGTTGTCCTTTAGTGCGCCCCCTTAGTCCCATTAATCCTGAAAGAAACCCTACAACCATTACGTCCAAATGCATCTCAG